TGCGTGCGTGCGTGCGTGCGTGAGAAATCGGCACTTCCCTCTGGTAAACCTCCTCCCCATACGGTGAATTATTGTGGTGTGAAGAGATGGAAGCTGAAATTTTCCCCATTTGTTTTCACTACAAATCACACATTGAGTGTCAAAAAAACATTTTTCTGTCAGACAGACTTTTCATTTATTGTTTTATTCTAAATCTAGCTAATGATCGGAATGTCTCGTTGGATTACTACCATATGTAGTTACACCATATGACCATGAAGAGCTCATATGGATCGTTTAAATCCAGCTTGTGCTGATAGAACTCGGAATAGCTTTAAATCTAAGTTACTAATAGCTTTCATTCTTCTGAAAATTTTTATTTTATTTTATAGGTTGGAATAAAACAAGTTAAAAATGTATGGCTATAAAGGATTCACCACAAACTTTTTGAATTATTACTGCCTCTCTGATGTCTATTATTTTCATAACAATTTGTTTCATGACCTGGATAGCGTTCTGCTGTCACATTTATTGTGCGCCCCCAGGGCACTTCCTGTTTTTGCAGGTAAGAGAGAGTAATTCCCTTCGAGAGGCGTCCATTCAGAGCTCCTCTTTCCCTCCCCCAGTCTCTACTACTGCCTGCCAGGTCAGTTATTTACACAGATACAATAGTTTACAGTCATTTTGTTGACATATTTATGTTAGATAACAAATGTTTAAAAAATATCCAAAAACCCTTGCTGAAAATGTGTTTTCCTGTGCAGATGCGTTTCTCTCTGTACCTGTATGGGGACTTTAATGGTTCTTTGCTGGTGGCTATAGAAGAGAATGGGACCACCAACGCACCACTGGTCTGGGAAAGAAATGGTCAGTGGACAGATGACTGGGAAGATGTTGCCCTGCAGCTGACTGGCCTTCATCATGGGTATGTAAAATAAAAAAAGGAACGGTAGAGAGAGCAAAAGAATCAGGCATGGTCTCGTGTGTATAATCATCATTCAAACTTACTCACCTCTACTTTTTGTCACTCAAACACAAAAGCTTTTCACATCAGGCTTTGTAATATTTCAATTTTCTTAACTTTTCATGTCAAAATAAAAGCAGTACTAGTGTATAACACATATATAATACAGCTGTAATTCTCTAAATACCCAAATGGTGTGTGCTTTGCTCCAGGTTCCACGTTAAGGTGACAGCTGTGTGGGGACAAGGCTCCAATGCTGACGTCGCTCTCGATGACATTGCAATTGGAGCAGCCTGCTTCAACACAGGTAAGCTGTTGCTAACACGCTATCATATCAATCAGGAGGCACAAGTGAATGAAGTTAAGATGACTGTTTATTATATCACATGATATGTGATGATTAAGTCTTAACCCTGTGGAACTTGAAGCCCTCTAGAGCAATATTTTTTACAAGCACATGCATGAGCTGGCAGGTGGCGCGATACACCTTCCTGACATTCCTCACAATCCTGAGTTGGGGGCAGTAATGAGCAAAGATGTGCAGCAATGCCCCAGCAAATGCAGTAAAGACAAAGACTGCAAGCTAATAAACTTAGATGCAATGCACAATTTTAAATAGAAAAAAATGACTTTGAAAATGTTTTATAAGGAAGAAAATGTATATAACATATCTGTTAGACCTCACACACTAAATGGAAATATAACTTTTGTTTGTTAACAGGAAACATCCTCCAGAACATCCTTAATTAGCACTTGTGGCCACAGACACCACTGAGCAGCAAATGCAACAATGCCCATTAAGACTGAAAAATCTGTTTTATAAACATCTGTCTCTGATCCGAAATGATCCGTACTCTATAGAAGTCCTGCTGAATGAAATAGAGAACACTGAGTCCTCCTAACTGTTGAGACTGAGTGATGACTGCAGTCTTTTGCTTGGAGCAGTCATCAGTCATTCGTTTGATGCCCCGTTTCAATGATTGGTTGTGACACGAGGGTAACCGACATTTAATTCTTTGCTGCAATTGTAGTACCGCAATATGTGTGCCAACATTCTTGTGTCAGTGTCATTATGCCTTACAATCATGTGAAAGGACTTTTCTAAAAACCTCTTTATTCTCTATTGAACTTGGGATGAATTTTATTATCTAGCGTGGTAACAGAGTTGATACACAGATGTGTAATTTAAATTTGGATTAAAGGGATAAGTCTGTTTTTTTGTTTTGGGATTTAAAGGAAGGATGGCTGAAAACCTCTGTGGAGCCACAGTGATAACAGTGGTGTACGGCTGATGCTCAGCTCCAGCTGGGAAAGACTGGAAATGTATTAACTGATATCAGGGTCAATTCAGGATCAGGAGTGAATTTAGTAAACCCTAAATTAGCTTAATGTTTCTCCCTATCACATTTATAAACTTGCGTGCTTTTATGTTGTTGGAACTACACCATCTCTTTTTGGATGTTACTACTCAGCTAGGTTTGCTAATTGTAGTGATGTGCCCTTTATGACTGCCTGTTTTATAGGCCTGTGTTCGTTGTGTTTACGCTAATAATATGTGCTTACTTCTTCCTGTCTCAGTTTATGCTGTTAGTTGGCGTGATGGTTTAAACAAAGAACACAAAACTATACAAAATGAACCACTGCCATGAATCTTTGCATGTAAACTGTTCCATACAGTGGTTTTGAGAATCGATACAGTAACACAGGAAATAAGAATATTTTCTTGCACCCCCTTTAAGAAAGGTCAGCGATGCCACATTGGTTTTAAGGAAGGATCTGGCAAAGGACAGTGCAGTACACAAAGTTTAAACAGTAATTCCCAAAATTCCCTGTGTCTGTATGCAACATAGCAGTTGAAGAGGAATTAGTGAGAAATATATTCATGATGTTTTCCTCTACCGGAATTAGTCTGACAAAATGTTCTCATATTCATCCATAATACCTTTCACCGAATTGTTTTCATTCGCTTTGATCTGTGTCACTTTCTGTCCAGATATAATTTATGCTTCAGTGATATGCAGATGGATGACTGTGACTCCTTTTTTCTCTTTCTTCCCATCTGTCTCTACCTTGGCTCCCTGCCTCTCAGATCTCAACTCTCTCCTGCCCATGACAGACTTGGAGGATTTCTTAAGCCCCCTTCCAGAGCCTTCGGCCTCAGGTAGCGTGCAACTTCAGCTATCACCTTGGATACGCTGTAAATTTCCAAAGCGTCCCTCATCTGCCGTGTCATTTTTTTAATCCATCCTGCATGCAGAATTTACATACCAGGTGGTAGACTGTACACTTGCAATTTCTCTTGGTGCTTGACGCTTTATCTACCATATCAGGTGACCAGAAGCTTTCAATTCATTCGACATTCAGCGCTCACATACCAGGTGGTTAACGCAATTTCCAGCGACTTTCCAGGATGTTGTGTCATATGTGTGTTTCCTCTTAGTCTCACATATTTTTCTGCATTTTTTTCTTTTGTTTCTCTTTATTTTTTCCAGGTGAATATACTATACCTACATTTAGCAACTCACTCAACAATTCTTAAATCTCGCACCAGCTCATGTCAGTGTCTCCGTTTTTCTAGAAGTGTCTTTGATGACGTGGTGGTTTACCTCATGCGGTGCCAGTGGTCCCTACGGCCCGACCCAAGCCCAGTGTGACAGTACCTACAGGAACAAAAATGTCAGTGTTATTGTGGGGAAGGAAGGCCCCTTGAAAGGAGTCCAAATGTGGAGAGTACCTGCTACTAACAGATACATGTAAGTGATAGAGGGGATGTTTTTTATGCTCATCTACCTGAGCTTTATGGTGGAAGTCAACAGGCTAGAGAGTTATTTATTCAAGTATTAGTCTGATGATATTCTATATTGTTCTTACTAAATATATAAATAAACAAATCCCATGAATAGAACAAAACCCACAATGAATTCTCTCATACTAACATTGCCTCCATAGTCAAAACATCATATAGCTTATTCCTCTGTGCCATAGACCTTAATTGTTGTCCAAAAAATATTAAAAACACACGTAAACACGGTTGCACTCACAGTGAACCTGGAAAGTTTACCTGGTAAGTTTATCTTGAGTCAATCCACATACATACTGTAAATAGTCACTATCTCACAAAATCTGGAGCTGAAAAGAGTCCTCAGCCAATGCATTATTTACTCCTGTTTTGAGTAATGTTTACTCAAAACTGTGTTATGGGAAATGACTGAGCCTTTTTAAATGTTGAATGCTGAATGAATTTTCTTGTATTTAGTAGGAACTAATGTGCTTGAGGTTTAGAGCCACAGACAGAGCGGGGAAGTCAGAAATAATGATTGAGACATAGACATGTTGTTGGTTTTGGTCTTTCAATAGGATTTGTTGACAGTAATAAAAATGTCAAATATAGCCATATTGTCCTGTAAGAGCAGTGATTCCCGTTATGAGTTGATGTCACTGGCTTTATCTGGAAAGAAAGAGTTCACTTATTGTTTACGCTTTTCTTTCTTTTACACTATCTGAATCTCATCTGTAGTTTATTTCTAGGATCTTTGTCTTTTAAGAGAAAGTATTCATCCACATGTGTTAATATCGTTGTGGGACTAGGCATGACAGTTTAAAAGTGTGACTAAATGCATGGGGACTAAATTATTTTGGCCATGCTCAGGGTAACTGGTTGTTGTCTTGCCAGATCAAGACTTCAAACAATTTGATTGTCTTTGAACAGCCAGTCATGGGGCCTCATTATCACACCCACAACATGAAATAAGGCCGCGGAAAAGTGGCAAGATTAATCATGGGATTTACAGAGTATTGAATTACTTATTATACACAGCTGTACTTCATGCCAATATCAACACAATATGTGTATGTTTTTAAATCTTTTTAAAACCGCAGGTGACTGAGTCTGCTGATTTGTGTGTTATGACAGACATCTATAGCTGTTTGCATAAGTGTATTGCAGTCTATCTATCTAGCATGATATATACTGTGGAGCTTGAGCCAGAAAGCAGTTTTTTGCAGTATTTAATCCTCTTGCGGCACAATGATCTCCCCCAGGATCTCTGCCTACGGGGCTGCTGGAGGCAAAGGAGCCAAAAACCACAATAAACGTAACCACGGGGTCTTCATATCTGCCATTTTTCCTCTGGAGAAAGAAGATGTACTTTACATTTTGGTGGGCCACCAGGGAGAAGACGCATGTCCCGGGGTGAGTAGGTTGGAAGGATTCGTTATCATGTGTGATGTCCCCACTGGGATATCTTTTACCAGGGAAAGAGGAGACAAGAGAGTGACCTAGATAAAAAAATATTTCCGGCTGGATTGATTCTTTTGTGAAGCCAGATTCTTCTTCTGAAACTCGAATCTCCCTCTCCCCTTGTGGTGCAGAGAAATCCCCTCACCCAGAAGATCTGCCTGGGAGAGTCGTCAGTGATTGAAGACAACTTCAGGGGAGAGGCCAGCTCAGAGTGGGCTGGGGGAGGAGGCGGAGGAGGTGGAGCCACTTACATCTTTAAGGTGACAGAATAAACTATTTGCAAACGTACACGTGCACCACTGAGCATGTAAATAGTTGAAAATGGCTCAAATGAGTGAGATTTACAGTGATTCTGTCTTGTCAGATGGAGGGAGGTGAGCTGATTCCCTTGCTGATTGCGGCAGGTGGAGGAGGAAATGCCTACCTGGAGGACCCGGAGTCTAGTCTGGACCAGATACCACTGGAGCAGTACGAAAACAGCACCGTAGCCCCCAGTACCAAAGGTCAAACTGGTGCTGCAGGTACTATATTATAAGTCATACTACTACTAATACAGATTTAATGTTTGTTTAAAGTATTGACTGAACTAAACTTACATTTCTTTTTTTTTAATTTACCTGTAGTGTTATCTCACCATGCAGAATATGCCCAGGTTTGATATATCTGACTTTGAGATTACTCTCTCCGCCCTAACACAATAAGGGGGATTGGAATTTTGTTTGTGGTGCTCACAAAAATGTTCCCATTACTCTGTATAATCCACTGAAAATGCAGTCAACAGTCCTCACATGTCTTTAAGCGAAAGTAGTTTCAAATGATAGTGATTGAAATTACTACGGACAGTGAGGTCTGTAAACAATTTGGAGTAACAGGAAATAAATTGGGGTCAATTCTTGGATTTTTTAAAGTTATTTGGACATTTTATGCCTTTATTAGATAATTGACAGTGGAGAGATGACTGTAAAACGAAGGCAGAGATCATGAACATGCAATTTAGGTCCTGGCTGGGATGTTGCAATTCTTTGAAAAGAAAAGAATTTAAAAACCTGTTAGAACGATTATGACAGTTTTGTCTGTTGAAAATACCTCCAGAATCATTGTGACTTGATGATCTCAGTCTGAGAGCAACCATTTTATATAAAAGCTGAGGAAGAGAGAAGAATGACGGAATAGTTACATTATAGTTACAAAAACACAGAAAACATTGAAATGTTAAATTTTAAAGAAACTTTGAACACAAAAGAAAGCACAGAATAAAACATGACATAAAATAGTATATGCACTACTATATAAATTATGTATAAAATGAATTACGGGAGTTACATTACGGTTAATATTCCTGATAACACTTAAGAGTGGTGGCAGACTCAGGTGTATACTTTATGATCACAGATGTTTGTACCTAGTTGTTGAAGTGGTATAAACCTCAGATGACGACCAGATTTCCCGTTGAAACTGGCAGAACTTTTTTTTGATATCAAAAGAAGAATTATTTCATTTCTCTCAGAAATGTTAAAACCTGCCCATAGAGACGTGTTGTTTGAACGCCACGAGAGGATTTGTTTATTCTGTACACACACACATTTGAACCAGCATGCATTGGCATGCGTTCATGCTCTCACACAGCAGGATGTGTTTGGCCTGTGGATAATGGGATCTATCTGGATGGTATTTTTAGTTTCCTGACAGGTCTTGACCTTTGAAGCAAGACATATATGGCAGGTCTCTCTCTCTTCGCTCCTGGAATTGCCTGCTGGAACATTCTCACTAAATCCCCTCAGACCAACAGAGTCTCAACACAGACCATCTATCTGCTTATTGAATCCTCTGTGGGATTGTTTAGATAAAGATCTGAGTGTCAGGGGAAATATGTGGTGAGTAGAGGAGGTGTGTGTTCACGCATATTTGTGGAGATGTGTCTGGTGATGTTGAAACTGGTCATTCTGACATCTAGAGGCTAGAGCTGCAGCCGATATTTCATTATCATGGATCACAGCATGGACTTTGCAAAATCTGCAGAGGCTTAGGAACTCCTGCGGGACATGTGTGATTTATTTAAAACCTTCTTTTATCTGCTCATCAGCGTAGATTAGAGGCCTTGATCAGGTGGTGTTTGAACCTGTCGACTCTTTTCTATTATTATTCATCGCTAAAGAGCATCTGTCTCCATCACGGCACAGTGGAAACATTTTAATTCCAACTTAATATATAAATATAAAAAAGCAAAAATGTAATTACATTAGTGTGTGGTTGTCAGGGACTTCAGTGACTAAGTGAATGGGTGTAAAGTTATAAACAAAAGGCAAAATCAGGCAGAAGCCTCGCTGTTGACCCTCTCATGTCTGCCCACCAGCTGCCTGAGAATAGGAACAAAGAAACACAACAGCACGACAAAAACAGTTGGACAGAACAAGAGCTCTGTCTCCTCTTATTTCTATGCTGCGTATCTCTGCTTGCTTCACTAAAGTCTTCCCACCTTGTCAAACTTAGTCTCAACAAGACCTGAGCTCTTTGCTTGCAAAATCTTGGCTACTTGAGACTTGTCGATAACACACTGAGCAGAACCTGATTTAATGGCTGAATACCCAGTCAGACAGCTCTCTCTCTCACTGAATGTCTCAGTTACTAATAATAACATGCTCAGGCAGATCAACTGCCTCCAGTAACAACTGACTAGAGCAAATCTAGACTGACCAGTTACCCAATGAGAGCCAGCAACCAACGCATGCAAACATAAACAGAAAAATACCATCACAAAACTAAAACTCTAACAAAAGACACTTAACTAAAAGTTAACATATCTTGGCCGTTGCTGCATCAGTTTTAAACATTTTTTAAAAATGTGTGTCCCCCAACTTTGTGGAAAAACAATGCTAAATCACTACCCCTTTAACATTACTGACATAAACCTACAGGTTTACCTTAATACACTTTCTCTGGAGGAAATCAAGCTAGCTTCATTTTCAGTTGCCCAGATGTGCAACCAAACATGTTTACAACCTCCCTAAATCCATCCATGTATGCCAGCTCTGATACTGCCTTTGGCTTCCTGCTTAAATTCAAGTTATGGTGCAAAACCTCTTGTGAACAAAATGTTTGTTCCTTTAGTTTTTCCTACAAAATATGTACAGTATGTAACATGTATGACATCAAAGTGTTTAATTTTGTGCTTGTTTCATTTATGTTTCCCTGAAGGTGGAGGTGGAGGTTGGAAAGACAGTCCCAGTCCTCACCTGAGGGCGGGAAAGTCTCTGGTGGAGGGAGCTGAGGGGGGATCCTCATGTCCCCTGGCCTTGTCCAAGCTCAGCTGGTCCACCTTTGGGGGTTTTGGAGGTGGAGGTGGGGCCTGCACAGCGGGAGGCGGCGGAGGAGGTTACAGAGGTAACAATGTTCTGTCAGCTACACTTGTAGCTACACAGCTACAAACTACATTGCTTTATCTTTTCTAAACCCTGAACTAAAAACTCAAATGGCTTTTATGTCTTTTTTTTTCTTCTGTCTGTCTATTAAACTCCTTAAAGAAGAAGAATTATCATTTGTGTGTCTTTCTTAAAATATTTGATTTGTGCTTCAGTCTAAAGGATAATTTATGCATGTCTGGTTGCTTTCGACAGTTGACTCTTTAAATAAATCACACAAATTTCAACTTAAGAAAGTTTTGCAGCATATAATTTTCTACCACTCAGAACGATTGGATAGTTTCTTAGTTTGTTGCCATGGTTATCATACATAGTAATTGAACGTTATTTCTACAATTTCTATTTTTAAGTGACATAACTGCCTGCAAGAACCAATGCACAAAAACCAGTGTAAAAATTCAGGGTGTCATGCAATGACAGTGTTTGGCAACAAATTGGCAAACTGACAAGCATATGCAGCGAAGCCTGCAAGCTAGTTCAGGCAGTCAACTCGAGCGGCGCTGCTATACACAC